AACAACAGCCCTGTTTGTAAATAGCTTTAAAAGAACACTTCAGTGTCCCCAAGTTGTACTGAGAATTTTTCTCCTGTTTCGTAACTTTGGTGTGTGGGGGGTGGGTAGGTTGGGGTGGGGTGTGTGTGTGTCTCTGTTTAAAGTCCTCAGAAGAGAGTCTTTTCTTGTAAAGATTCTTTGTTTTAAAAATAGTATTCTTTGGTTTCCAATTTGCTTTTTATGAGGAGAAACCATAAAAACATATTCATTTATAAGGAGGAGTGGGGTAAAGAGCATACAAGAAATGCATACTTAACAGAAGAGCTGTGACAATGTCTTCATCTAACCAGCATGGTCCAGCACATTAAAAAAAAAAGTCCCGGGCTTCCCTGGTGGCGCAGTGGTTGAGAGTCCGCCTGCCGATGCAGGGGACGTGGGTTCGTGCCCCGGTCCGGGAAGATCCCATATGCCGCGGAGCGGCTGGGCCCGTGAGCCATGGCCGCTGAGTCTGCGCGTCCGGAGCCTGTGCTCCGCAACGGAAGAGGCCACAACAGTGAGAGGCCCGCATACCGCAAAACAAAAAATCCCAGTACCAAACAAATTACTCTTCAAGGGGAGGCGGCTGAGAGCAGTGTGTACAGAAAGTGTCCAGTTTAGGTAGAAAATGTAAAAGAATTGACCTCCGCCTCAGGGTCTGCTGAGTATTGTGGATAGACCCAGGACTGGGATGGACATCGTCTCAAACATGCTCACCGCCCAGGTCATCTGTAATTTGCACTGAGGTGTAATTGAAGCTGTTTTCCAAGATGATCAATGTTTCCTTAGCGTAAAAATCGGGGATCAGCACGTGATCTCCTTGGCTGGCTGGGGTTGGATTTCAGCAGAGGCTGAAGAGAAGAGAATCGAGCATCGGGAATATTTGGACCACGCGAAGCCGCTGGGGATCCTACACACCTGAGGGGTTTTGTGTAACAATTTTAACAGTTGCTGCCACGTTGCATCGTAGTCTTACCAGTCTTGCTAAAACATATTGCACTTTTCTGTTTCTTCAAATCATGATAAATAAAATAAAACCTTTTTTTTATTAATTCCATTTTTTCTCAAATTCTTTTCCCATTTAGGTTATTATTGAGTATTGAGCAGAGTTCCCTGTGCTATACACTAAGTCCTTGTTGGTTATCTATTTTAAATATAGCAGTGTGTACTTTTTAAATGTTTAAATCAGGAATAGCCTCAAAGCATTGATCAGTGTCTCAGCTGTTGGCAGAGCTGGTTCCAGGGCCTGTGGAGGTTTGGGAGACCATCCTTTTGAATAGTGTGTCTGTTTTTGGTGGATATTGGTGGTGTTTCCCTGCCTTGTGGTCTGGGGTGCCTTCTCAGTGCCATCAGTGTGTGGCCTGCAGCCCCTGACCCATAGGAGCATCTCTTCTATTTCCTTCTTTGCTGCTCCCAGGCTTCTGGGTGCTGAAAAACCCTTCAAACCAGCTTGTTAAGGTTGTTAAACTGGAGTCTGAGACACCAGCCAAGGCCTGAGAGGACTCAGCATGTGCCATCTTTAGTGTGGACCAGAAGAGAGCTATTTTTGCCTAAAAGGTGCCTTTCTTGCTTACTTCTTGATCTCTGGCTGTGTTTTGTGTAGATGAGGGTTTTGACTAGCATAATTTGATAGATTAGGAATCACTGTGATTTGAAGAAAAAAGATGAATAAAAATAGGGTAAAGGCCATATTGTATTTGGAAGTTGTGTTCTACCCTGACCACGTTAAGGCAAAATCCCCTACAACTGCTTTCACACCATGTGGCTGAGCTCTAGGAGAGCGGTCAGTGAGCCTAGACTGTTGGGGGACTATAAAACAGAAAAGTGGCTCTGGGTGAATTTGGTAGAAGGAAATGTGACTTCCTGTCCTGTTGCTACCTTGGAAAATAAACCATTCAGCATGGATCTGTTTCCTTAATTGTAAGTTGAAATATTTAAAACAGAAAATAAGAGTCTTCTAGCTTAGCATTCTGAATTGTGTGTGTGTTTCTATTTCAAGTCCTTTAAAATACAAGACTCATGGCAGGTGGCCAAATAGTACACATCGCATCCAGTGACATCCTGAGATCAGCTATCAGGACAGGAGCAGCAGAACAAATGACCTGGGCCTCTCTCATCAACCCTGACTTGATGGAACAGGGCAGGCAATATTGGAGATGGATACCACTTTTCTGCACAGAAACCTTTTAACCAGCATCCATTAGACAGCAGAGAACGGGGTGGCTTCTCTGCTGGGGCCCCGGAGCTGTCAAAATTGATGAATAAGAATAATTCTGACACACTCCTCATTGGTGTATGGTGGGCTGCCTGAATTTTAAAATCCTCTTCCTTTCTCTAAAAATGTTATATCTCATTCTGTATGTTCCAAGATGATCTACATTTAATATTTTTCCACCCCCTTAAATCTTGCCATCTACATGCTGATGGGTGAAGGGATATCTCATTCTGAAAATCTCAAGCAACTTTTAATTTTAACAAAACTGCAAAATTCATAAATTTTAAAAGGAAAGAAGAGGGGTGGGGAGGCGTATTTCACTTTCAACGTGTTGTCAGAAATGAGTGAGCTAGAGTCTGGAGACAAAATCTTGGCCATGAAATGATGACAAGATACCCATGATTCTGATCTGTCACAGTGATGATAACAGACAGATTGGTTCTTCCCGAGGGTCCTGGGGGCTTCCTGAGGATGGCGGCTGGTTTGGAACCAGAGCTGAGATTTCCTCCTCTCCTTTTCAGATTGTGTTTGCAGCATGCTCGCCAGACACGGAATCTTAGAAGAGCCACTGCAAATGCTAGATGCAGTCTGTAGAATTCATTGTCTTTTAAATTTGGATATCATTCATGACCACACACATGCTTAGGAAATGGAGTATACATATGTCATTCAGATGCTCCTGGTACAGTACGTATACTTGTGAAAATGTATCTGTGTAAGGTACTAGAGTCTCTTATAAGGTCCAAAAAAAATCCTGTGTGGATCTGTCCACTTTATAGACCCCAAGGACACCTCTGATCCCTGGTTAGTCATCCATTCACCCACGTCCCCAGTGCTCTGAGAGCTTCAGGGATTGCCTGCTAGGGTCTAATTCATACACTGTATTTACATGTTGAATTATAATCCTACTCTACCTAAATCAAATCACTGCCTTGCTTTCCTATTACCTATAACAATAAAGTCAAATTCCTTGCTTGAGTTCCAAGGCCCCTCTGATCTGGTCCATACCTCCCATCTCCTCTCCTGTCACTGTCCTGCCCAATCCCTCTCCTTCTCAGCCGCCCTGGCATCCTTTCTGTTCCTAGAGCACCAATCTCATTTCCTCAGGGCTGTCACACTTTCTGTTCTCTCTGCCTGGAATGCACGTTTCACTCTGCAAGATTGGCTGCGGCTTCTTGACATTTATTCAGTTCCCTGACCAAATGTCCCACCCTCCGAGAGGTCTTTCCCAACTACCGTATCAACCACTACTCCCTCTCCATCACTTATCACATGAACGTTTTATTTTTCTTCTCACTCTGAGACTGGATCTCTGTTTATCCACTTGCCATCTGCCCGTCTCCCAGGCAAGAGAGCGAGCTCAACGGCAGCAGGGACATTGCCGATGTTTTTCAAGGCCCCCTGGGCAGCCCCGAGAAACGGGCCTGGCACGGAGGGGTGGCTGACTCCATATGTGTGGACTCAGTGACCACACCTGCACTAGCTGCAAAGTGAGAGTCATGTTTTGAGAGTCAGAACGACAACAACAAACTAAACTAGGAAAATAAAATTTCTTCTGAACGATTGTCCCAAATGTCATAAATCTGCATTTCCTGCTGGATTTACATCACTTACTTCTGTTTTTTTCTTTTTTGCGGTACGCGGGCCTCTCACTGCTGTGGCTTCTCCCGTTGCGGAGCACAGGCTCTGGACGCGCAGGCTCAGCGGCCATGGCTCACGGGCCCAGCCGCTCTGTGGCATGTGGGCTCTTCCCGGACCGGGGCACGAACCCGTGTCCCCTGCATCAGCAGGCGGACTCTCAACCACTGCGCCACCAGGGAAGCCCCATCACTTGCTTTTGGACAAACGAAAAAGTACAATTCTCTTATATCCCAGAGACTTTTCTGCATCCATTTGCTTCCTCCCATCCCTGTCACCTTGGAAATCGCTCGCTCAGCTGGCCGTGCTCTCTTGTCTCCTCTAAAGCCGATTTGCAGCTCCTGCCCTGAGGAAGCCCTTCTCATCAGCCTGTCCCTCCACCTCCGTCCTCACTCCTCAGCACATTTGGGTGCTGGCATGTTCACAGGCATCCTATGTGTGAATTTGCACTTGCTGATGTCCTTTTCTAGAAAAGTAACTTTATCCTTTGATGTAGAGGTAGCAGGGAGAGGGACAGGCAAGGGTACTTTGTAATCATATTTTCAGTTACTTGAAAGTAAAAAATTGTGATTTTTTTCCCCTTTGCAAAAATTTTTTAATGCTGTTAACTGATATCAGAAGCCACGTGGGTCTCCTATTAAATGGGCCTGCTGTCATCTTCAGAAAGGTAGTTTGTTGCCTGAAAGAAACAACAAAGTCTTGTTTGTCTACCGACTAAAATTTAAAACACGCAATGTGACTGCAGCCAATCAGAATGGTCTCAACCTTTCCAGTAATGACAACATGTCCATGGTCCTTGACAGTGGGACGTGAAGAAGGGCACTTACTCCTGTGAATCACAGGGTGCAGGATTTCGGGGGTCTCTGCTGACCTCCCAGCCCAGGGCAGACCCTGTGAAGCCATCCAGCACTGCAGCAGAGCCAGCGAATAGTGAGGTCACTCACCTCATCCTTCCTCCTGCCTCTGGGCAGCAGCAAAGCCAACCGACCCTAGTCAAACAGCTTTTACAAGAGCCGCACACACTTTCTCTTCAGTGTTTCCAAAGACAAAACCTCGGCGGGGTGTGTGAAGTGACAACACAGGAAGGTGGTTGTAGGGCCGAACCAACCCTGCTCTCCATTCTCTCTCCCAGGCTCAGAGACCAGCCTGCCTTCCTGTGGTTTCCGTGGAATCGAAATGTTTGCATAGGTTTCGTCATCTCCAGGAGAAGCTAGCTGGTCATGCAGTGACGGCCTCGTCCTTCACCAGGATGTCAAGTGTCGGAGGATGAACCCAGAGACTTCATAGAGCAGGTGTGTCCCCCCATCCTCCACCTGACTTTCTGCACCTTCAGGTTTCATAACTCAACCTGTCTCAGAGTGAGGTGTTATTTAACGGTGTGATAAAACAAGGATACATATTTTTACCGTGTTCACACCTGTGGGATTTTGAACTACAAAAAGGCAGCAAAGGGGAAAGAGAAAGGGTCAGTGAAACCCTATACTTCATTTTCATTTCTCAACACCCCTGTTTCTGATACCCAAGCATTTCTTCCTTCTACCATTTTCTTCTCACTGAGTCCTCACAGCTCAAGTAGAAAACAACCCATGGGCGTGATTAAAAAGAGAGATTTCCTGGGAGGTAGGGAGTACGACTGGCTCAGACCTCCTGCGTTGGTCCCACTGGGGCCTCACAGCTTGTCTGGTGGGGATATACTGAGCGCAGGCCTGCAGCTCACATTCCGGTCGAGTGAGCCCTCACCCGGGATTGGCGGGGCTGTGCACATGTGTGTATATGTGCATGTGTATGTGTGCTAGGAGCAGGCTCGTGGGATGGGGAGGGTGGAAAAGCCTCAAAATTCAACCTCCAGAGAGGAGTTTTAACTCAAGAGAGTCCCAACTGAAGACTTTTAGTACAAAACTAGAGACAAATGCATCCTTTATCAAAAGGTGTTACCAGGAAACATGTCAACTACTTGTACTTTTCATTCAAACTTAAAGTTAAGTCACAGTTAACAGGCCCTTCTGGACTCTTAACTAAAGATTGTAGCCGGAACAGAATTATCTAGAGCTCCACAAGAAATCTTCCATGTGCTGTCTGTCACTGGCTTTGACAGGCCTGGTTCTACTGATGTTACCATGTCCTGTGTGTCTCTCTGAACTTGTTCTAGCCCGTGTTTATACTGTCTCTCCACACCCCATCTGCAGCCAGTATTTGAACAACTCCTCCTGTCTCTTTCTTCCAAACAGAAAAGAGGGAGGTACCACCAGTGTCCTCTGATGGAGTGTCATGGAATCACGGCTGTGACATCTTAATAGCCGCACTCCATGACAGAGCCAAAGTTGTCCCTGCTTTGCTAAATGACAGGTCAGGAGGGGCACAAAAAATGACTTTCTCTCAGCCTCCTCCTATCCTGTACTTTAATGCATTTTCAGTCAGATTACTCAGAATTATTAACATTTTATAGTGTATTGGAAAAGTGATGTCAGGTCATTTTCTTTTTTCTTTCCTTTTTTAAAAAAAATATTTATTTAGGCTGTGCCGGATCTTAGTGGCGGCATGTGGGATCTTTTAGTTGTGGCATGCGGCCTTCTTGGTTGCGGCTTGTGAACTCTTAGTTGTGGCATGCATGCGGAATCTAGTTCCCCGACCAGGGATCGAACCAGGGCCCCATAAATCAGGAGCGTGGAGTCTTACCCACTGCACCACCAGGGAAGTCCCAATGCCAGGTCATTTGCTAAAGCCTGAGTCTTCCTGCAGTTTATCCCCAGCTCAGCTTTTGAGCTGGTAGCATAAAGCCCTCTCAGTTTTCCCATTTGAGAAGAGAGGTAAATGAAATGGGCCTTCAATGTGCTTTCAAGAAGACATGATTTTTAAAGTCACTTTGAAAAATTTAGAAATGAGCACAATTGCTTTTTCTATCCCTCATTTGGTTAATAGAGAAAAGGGTTTCTCAAGCTAAGATGAGAACTTCTGGAAGAGTCATGAGCTCTATGGCTCTGGATGTCTCCCAGCTGGTTTTAACAGGCAACTCAGGTCTGGGGAGGGATGATGGATGGCTAAGTGCCAGCTTAATTGGAACGTGGGGTTCCAATTCCAGCTCCACCACTATGTGTGACCTTGGTCAATACCCTAACATCATTACAGATCACAGTGATAAATAACGTCGTTACATTATCAGTGGGAATAATAAGAGTAGCTACCTCATAGGATTACTATAAGGGTTAAATGAGCCCATCCATTTGGTTATTATTCTGGTGAATAGTAATTGTAGGGCAGAGAAAAGAGATTTATTAATCGCTGAGAAATTGGGAGGATGAACAGTTTAATGAAATTCAAAAGCTATTGGAAGAGGGCAATAACTTGGTGGAATTAACATCACATTTTATTTTTATTTTACAAAATCCCTTTGGGGTTCTTGTATATGGAAGGGTGTCTCACTATCCCTGCCACCCCTGTCACTTTAGGCTAGACCATGGCAGCTTCTCCAAGGACTGTGTTTTGTCATTTTAAAATTGGTTAGATGGGGTAATTCTCACCATATTTAAAACCAACCTGACTCATTTTCGAGCTCTTGGATTACACTTTATTTTCAAAAGTTTGGGGGAAGTTCTTACCCAAAATGCCATGGTGGATTCTAGAATTACAGAAATTTCTTCCCAGAGCACATCCGAAGAACCAATTGTACAAACTGTCAGTTATAAGATGAATAAGGTCTGAGGACCTAATGTGTAACATGGTGACTATAATTGATAACACTATCATATAATTGAAATTTGCCAAGAGAGTAGAACTAAAATGTTCTTACGCACACAAAAAAGATAACTATGTGAGGTGATGAACGTGGTAATTAACTCCACAGGGGAAATCTTTTCACAGTGAATGTATATGGAAAATCATCATGTTGTACACTTTAAATATCTTACAATTTTGTTTGTCAATTATACCTCAATAAACCTGGACGGATAGAGAGATAGATAGATAAATAAATAAAGCAAGCAAGTAAGTGAGTGACAAATGGTTCCACCTCCTCTCAAATAGAGAAAGGTCTTTTTTGGCCAAGAGGAGGGAATTTCTTTTCCTCACTTCTCTCCCCAACTCTCAATGCAACCCCAAATCAAGATTATTTAAATTCTCAAACTTACTTAACAGAGTGGTCTCCCAGTGCTATAACCAGCCACGCTTCCATGTGGAAACACAGCCAACACTTTTTGTTCACCCATTATTGAGCTTCTTTCTCCTCATTTCCTTCAAAAGATGAGAATTAGGTGGGGAAGCAATGTATCTGCCTGTGAGTTCTCCTGTGTCCAAGTTCAGTAGAGGGATGGAAATATAAGGCTTCTTCCCCATGGGGCAAAGATGTGAATGTCTCATTGAAGGAGGCCTCCAGCCCAGAGGAGCCACAGGCTGGTGATGACATGTTTTCCTGGCCCCGGGATTGGGCTGTGACCTCCAGGGCCAGTGTTTCATGCCTGCATCACCATACAGGCTCCAGGGAGTGGGCCTGGCCCCGGGACCATGGTCCTTGCTGTAATGGCCCTTCCTCCACCTCCTTCCACCCTCACCTGGGCTGCCTCGTATTTCCCCAGTGTGGCTCCTTCTGCCCAGTGGGGACCTTTCTCTCCACCCTCAATGCAGAAGGAGCCACACCAGCCTAGTGGTGAGGGTGAACTCAGGACAGACTTTTCCCCATAATTCTGAATTTCCTATGTTTTGTCAGTGTAAACCAGACTCTTAATGCTATTTTAATGTAGTTGTTTTGTGTGTGAATAATATGCTCTTTTTGCCAAACCTCAAGCCCTGGAACTAAGATCTCATAAAAATGCCTAGAGTCCAAAGCTAATAGCTGTTATTCAGCTGTTATGGGGTAAGGCCGAAAAAGTTTCAGATTGATGTTATTCTCACTAAGGCAGCGGTGATACGAAACTACTGAGGGGGGCCCCAAGGCTCCAGATGCCCGGGGTGTAAGAAGCGCGATGTCCCATCAGGATGTCCCAGTCGCTTTCCCTCCACAGCCCCTGTAACAGCTTCCGCCTTCATGATCCTCAGCTCAGTGAATAGCCTCACCTCCCACCCAAGCTGAAAGTCCTGGAAGTCACCTTTGACACCTGCCCCCCAACCTCTGTCACCCACCATACACATCTGATCGTCGCCAACATTCATTCGACAAGTATTTATGAAGGGCCTGTTGCACGCCTGGCGTTCTGCCGGGGGGGATGATGAAGTGGCGCCTGCTTGTAGGATAGAGGATAGGGTCACGGTTAAGAGTGTGGACTCTGAAGCCAGAGGTCACGGGCTGGTGCTGCCACCATTAGCTCTGTGACCTTTGACAAGGTCTTTTTGTCTCCCTGTGTAAAATGGGGATAATAATAGCGTCTGCTTCATGGTTACTTTTTGATGCCTACATGAATTATAATTTCTAATGCACTCAGTGCCTGGCACATGGTAAATTCCATGTGAGTATTTGAAAAATAAAATGACAGAAGAGAGCTTGGTATCAAGCCTTCACACAAACAAGTGAAGTGGCAGGTGGGAGAGGGTGGAGGCCCTGTGAGATCCCAGGAGCCTGGGCTGGGATGTGAAGGACGAGTGGGCATCAAAACGTCCATCTCCTGCCACTGTCCTCGTTCAAGCTACAGTCACCTCTCTCCTGGACCACAGAAATGTCCCTCTAAGTGGTCTTCTTTCCTGTTCCCCTCCTCGCCAGACAGCAGCCAGTGGGGTGTTTCTCAATCTTGAGTCTGATTGTGTCGTTTCCTAAATGGCATTCTTCAGTGGCTCCCAAGTTCCCTCAGGTCTATATGCAAGTATCCTCAGGGGGCTTACAAGGCCCTGCATCATTTTCTTTCCACCATTGTCTTGGTCCTCCTTTTCCTCGTCTCTTTAACCCCCAGGAAACACCCTCACACGCTATACTTCAACCCTGCGGAATTTCTTTTAGTTCTCTCTGTAGGCCACAGTCCTTCTCCCCTCTGGACCTTGGCTCTTTTAGTCACATCCACCTGGCATATCTCTCTGCTCTGCCCCACCTTTCCCTGGTGAGCTCCTGTCATCCTCCAGACCTCAGCCTCAGCCTCACCTCCTCGGGGGCTGCCTTCCCCAGGCTCCTAAGCTAGGTTGGAGCTCCTCCTGTGATTTCCCGTGGCCCCTCCTAGGGCCCTATTGCAGTGTTGATCACTTTATCTATTGATCACTTTATTGTGTAATTTTTCCCTTTACTCTCTGTATTCCTGCCAAGCTCTGGGAGCGTAGAAACTGCCTTCTTGTTCAAGCGTATCCCCTGAATTCAGCACAGTGCCGGGCACATGGTAGG